GGCCCGAGTACCAGAACCTTACAGCTCTCGCTTGGGAATATGCAGCACCGTTTCCGGCCCTGCAGCTTCCTATGTCGACCGCCGATGACGCATCGTTGCTCTAGCTTTCTTAGAGCTGTGGACGACCATCCGCATTGCTGAGGAGCTCTTGGCGATGGGCGTCCCTGTTCATCGAGCGCTCTGGATCCCACACACTCGACATCAACATCAATCTCGAGGCGTACGTCTACTGCAGATACTCCAACTGTCGCCAAAAACAATGGCGTCCAGCATGCCGTGAGAGCATTCCAATGACCGGAGTACTCGCTGTCATCGGGTCCTATGTTGGGCGCGCTGGCGCCTGCGGTTCGCGGATGGCAGTACCAGATGCAGGACTTGTGGGAATTTTTTTTCACGTCCCCTGGTGCCGCATCACGGGCCATTTTTCCTGTCTGGACAACTCTGTGGTTCCCCGGTCGCGGAGCCTTTTGACATGCGACACTTTCGATCTCCGAGGTTGAACGCTGCGTGGGAGCTCGATACTCTGGTGCAGTCTTTGCGATCTCGAGCTTAGATATTGACTACTCCAAACTCTTTTCTTCGACGACAATGATGGCCTTCGCCAAATATTCGGTCCAGCGTCTAGTTCGCAACTTCGCTCCGTGTGAGCCTCCCTTCTTTGTTCTTCTCGTCCATTCCCCGACCATACGATCCTCCGTAGTCAGTTTGAGAATTTCATTCTACTGGCAGTATTGCCACGAAATCCTCGGCGGCTTCGAAAACATCACGGAGGTTTTCAGCATACCGAATCTCGAGTGCCTCGAAATCCTGGGGGGATTCACTGGCAAATACGCCACAGAAATACGAGTCCCAGCTCCATGAGAGGAACCATCTACGAACTCTGCGGTCGGAAAGGTCGGGTTCAGTCGCACTAATCTCGCATTGATCAAATCCTTTAGCCGTGAGATCGCTACACTCGAGTTGATCTATACAACTGGAAACCAGCATCTGCTGGGCGCCGACGTGCAACGGTTCACATTACGCTCGCTGACTGTTGAAACTTCGGATAGTGTCTCTGAACCATCGTGAATTGGTCCGTTTCTCGCAATGCGCACCGCCCAGGACATGCACATCGAGCAATTCACTCTTCGCCCTCTCCACAATGGCGAATGCTTAACGCTCCGGCCCGCACCCTCCATCCGCTGGCTCTGCGGTAGACCCTCCGCTGCTCTGCTCGACAATGTTACCGGAGGCGACTATGGCTTCTACGTGGACGACGTCGACGGGCACGTCGTGGATTTGAACACCTTGAGCGTCCGTACTACTAGCGCTGCGGATAGGAGGACGGATCTGTCGATTGGTATGAAAACCTGTTTGAGCCGCATACCACGGGGTGGGACGAGGTGATTGCGGAGGCGTTTTAGAGCATCAGGGAGGTGGTGAAGGAGAAGGGAACGCGGAGGGAGATGCGCGAGCGGCGAAGAAGGGATTTCAAAATGGCCAAGGCGGGCCAAAAAGGGAGGCGTAGACGCAGGCGCGCTCGACACGATGTCAGCAAGGATTTCCGGCTCGCAACGCAGTGATTATGATTGCTACAATTGATCTCATATCTGTGAATCATCAGAGCACCGCTCAACTTTCTGTCCTGTTTTGAGGCGCCGCCGGCTGAGGGCCAGCTAAAATCAAGAATCGAGTTAATGTTTAGAGACTCTAAGGGAAAAAGTGGAGTAGCGTAACGGGGGAACAAAAAAAATGCTTTGTGAGCGTGCATGGCTCGGTCTGGAATCGAACCGGCGATGTCTGCAGAAATCTCTTTGAAGAGAAAGCAAATGCGCGTCTCTCGCTACCGAGCCTTCCTTACTTATTTTTACCCTTGAATACGTCGCTTTCATACCCCTCGAATCCGTAGAGCTTATCTGTGTGTTGAACTGTGGGGAGAACCCAGCATTCAAGTCCTGCGACGGCGGAATGGGCCAACAAAAAAGGCGGGATACCAAGCAGAGAAAACAAGATATCAATGCACATGGATGATTCGGTGCCAAAAGGAACCTACAAACAGTTAAGCAGACACGCGCCTACGCGCTACAGAGCCTCCACTACCCTTGAATATGAGCGGGCGCTTTCAGATCAGTCCGTGCATGAGATCTAGGAGGGGGGATTGCCGTGCGGACCGACTCGACCGAGCGTTGGAACCGTGGAATAAAATGAGCAATTGATGTGAGGTTGGATCCAAGTAGAGGAAAAGAGAACAGACGGAAAACAAACCGTCTGTCTCGGTCATACCTTAGACTGGGGTCTACAATGAAACTGAACATGCACCGAATGCACGCATCCATGCGCAACACCAATCCATCTCGGTTGGGCCTGGAACACGTGCAGATAATCAACCATTGCGCATATCAAGATGGTTAGAATTCGCTCACGTAGAGTGAACAGTAGGCGGACAGAAATAGAAGCAGTAACGATAAGACATTGGCTGGAGCCGATTCCGACGGTTGGCATCTGCCGTAGGCGTGTCGTGTTTCCTATGGAAAGCAGATGCGCACCAAGCGTGACCGAGTCTTCGTCGGCGATTTCAAGGCGTGGATATGGGATCATCGTTTGGGCGAAATCGTAGAAGATAAATCGGCGGAGCACTGGTCAGGAGGTGTAACGTCCGGAGGACGAATTTTGTTTTCAGTTGATTTCACCCCGACCGTGGCTTTGACGTGGCACCGTGCATGCTGATTGCATGCTGGCATCCCGGATTCCGTATTTGGGGTTTTTTCTTCCCGAGCAGTGTAGCGAGGAGAAGTGACTGTTGAGTCAATATGGGGCGGAATACTAGGCTCAGATCGCGCAGACGCAGGAGGCAAACAAGCAACACAAGCGAAATGCCGCGAATCGACGAAGAACGCGAGAGCTGCAGCTCGGGCCGGGAATACCGAAATAAAGCCGCTATCAATCGATGTTACATACGTGACGCGTGACACACACTCTTTCTCTCTCACCCCATCTTTCCCCGCCGCCGTCGGAATATCCAGTAGCTCAAGAATGCAGCACGCCTCTGGCCGCCCTTCTCTCTTGACGCGAGTCCCCGAACTGTGGTTCGAGGACGATAACCTCATTCTGCGTGCGGAGAATTCTCTTTTCCGCGTCTCAAAGGGCATTCTCGCTGCGCGTTCTTCTGTATTCCGCGATATGCTGGCCTTTCCAAGGCCGCGGCGGTCTTCGACCGTTGAGGTGAAGATTAAGCGCGAGGACGAGGACGAGGGGACAGAGGATGGAGATGGAGAGGAGACGATGGACGGATGTCCGGTGGTCCGGCTGCACGACGCCGCGGCAGACGTGACGTATTTCTTGCGGGCGATATTCGACTCGAGGTGTGTCCAATTTTGCTTGCAATTCCTCCGCTATGAATCACTCCAATCTTGTTGTTTCAAAGTTTCTTCGAACCACCGCCCTTTAAATCCTCCCTTCCCATCATAACCGGAATCCTCCGCCTATCCCATAAATACGACGTCCACTACCTCCGCCGACGCGCCCTTTTACACCTCGACACGGGCTTCCCCACGTCCCTCGGGCTCTACGAAGTCACCGGTCTCGAGACCTTCGCCTCTGACGGCCTCGACGACTCCCTCCTCACCATCCGCTGCGCCTCGGAAGTCGGTGCCACCTGGGTCCTCCCCACCGCGTTCTACTTCCTCTGCTACAGCGACATGCGCGACATATTGAACGCGCGAGAGTGGCCCCTGTTGAGTGAAGTGGATCGAGAGACGGTCATCGTCAGTTACACGAAACAAAGGGTGGCGTGTCCCCCTGTGTTACCGTTTTTGCGCATCCCATTCACGGAGGGGTGTACGAGTTTGGACCGGTGCTCCGATTATAAGGCGAGTTATCTTGTGGATGTGGGGAGTTGGAATATTAGCGATCCGTTGGGCAGTTATAAGGAGTGGAGTCCGTTTGAGAGTAAGGTGCGCGGTGATTTTGTTTGAATCATGCTTTGTTTGTTCGTTAATTCTTCGTTCGACCTCCTAGATTTGCGCCTACTGTCTAGAAAAGAGCGAGGCCTACCACCGTGCCGCCCGCGCGCAGCTCTGGGAGGAGCTCCCCTCCATATACGGTCTACCCCCGTGGGACGCGCTCGAGAAGATGAAGAGCGAGGCGTTAGCCGCTGATCCGTAGGGCCTTGTTTGCTTTACTCACACAAGGCAAGCGCGATAAGGTCAGATTCAGCAAATTGGTTCAGCATTCGATTCGTCACACTGATATCCCGCAGTGTTCCGTTATTCCGCTCTGTGTTCTCCCTGCTCCGCTTGTTTCCTTCATTTTCCTTTGGTCTCTCTCGCATTTTATCTCCATCCACGACTCATGATATCTATAGAGCCCAGCCTCACTGTACCAGTACCCGCATTGCCGCACGCACCCACGTATATCACCTAAGTTTTTGACAATGTATCACCTATTTTCTTTTTGCGCTCAACATCTCGCTTCGGTCCGGGAAGTCTCTGTTCAGCATCTTTCGTTGGCGCTGCAACTGTCGAACCGATTCAATTTTCAACCGAAGATGAGACTTGGCAGCCGCACCGATAAGCCAATGCATATAAACCGATTTTCGGGGCCATTGTCTCAGTTGCCCTTGAAGAATCATGGAGCTTGAGTTAAAAATTCTTATACCTGCTCCGGATGTATCGGCGGGGAGTCGAACTCTGACTTCAATGAACCGCAGTTATTAATATGACCTGATGCACAACGGATTTTTGTATACACCATGCAAAAATCGTCTCGGCTCCGAAAAAGGCAGCGAACCGCAATTTGAATCCCGGGCTCAGCTCCAATTTTACGAGAAACTGAGGATAACGCTGGGTGATATGCCACACCGCGTGGCGACACTGTGTCATTGCGGCGTGTCCACTTTGAAGCCCACTCCAAGTCAATTCAACCCGTGTGTGATTGGACTGAATTTTGACTACACGGACTGCATTTGAGTCCCCAATGCACGGCGGAGGGAAATGGCAAAAACGATTAGAACCAACCTATCATATGCTCGCGGGAATTCGAACCCCGAACTCAGGGTGAAGTGGAAGATGTTCGCCAGATATTCACCCTGCGCCTTGACATTGCACCACGAACGCGATGCCAGGAAAGAACCTGCCAGTGAGAACAGTTTCAACTTGTTTAAACATGAGCGAGTATTAGCCTGTTTGCGCTGCAGCCATTCGAGCCATCTGATGGCTATTTGGCGTTGCGCAAATTGATGGCTCATGGCTCGAATGGCTTTGATATTTACCATAAATTTTGGTGTCGGTGAGTGACCTCAAAGTCGTACAACTAATGTATGGGTGACTCGTCCTACCCATATATATAACAGCTGAATTATAGGCCCAAAAATACTTAATTTTGTTGAATTTGGAGGTCTCGTGCAGTTCAGAAGCATTCCTCAAGGTCCATGAGTGATAACACACTCATCGACACTCTTTCTAGCAGAAAAGAGCTATATGACATTATTTCGTCAGCCATCCATCGGCCATTAGCCATCAGTTTGCGCAACGCCAAACAGCCATCAGATGGCTCGAATGGCTGCAGCGCAAACTCTCTATTGTGCAAGATGCCGTCGGACGAGCTGGCGAGTCATTGATTACCCCTGAAGTACACATAACACAGATGCCGTTTTCCCATGCACCTGCGGGTAATCGAACCACGGAGTCGGTGTAAAAGGCTTTACTTCTCAATACCGGAGACGTACGCTGCGTGTTACCCTACACCAATGACGCGGTAGCATATTACCGCGGCGTCAGCTTTTGCTTAATCCATTTTTTTAAAAATAAATTATCTCACTAATAGCCTGGGTACGTGCTGAGACATCCTCAGGTACAATATTTGTCGCTGCATCGTCGTCTTCAGTCCTAGGAGTTCAGGTAATGCCAGACGGCACGATCGCGAATTTACATTTGATTTTCGACCAGCTGAAAAAGGACACGCGAGGAGGACAGGCGCGAACTCCGATTCACTTGTAGGCCTTCCTTCATTGATCTATGCCGGCTTGACTACGATATGCTGTGATTTACGCTCGGAAATTGATACGATGAGACTTGCGCTCGGTTTGGAACGCGTGACAAAGAAAAGAACGTTAAAGCGGATGCGCAATCTCTTGCGGGGCGAAGGCCATGGGTTCAAATCTGGTTTGAAAGGGCGAGGTATAGGCGTTTTCTCTTTTATCCTGAGTTTTCCTGAGACATATCAGTCGAGAGTCAGAAAACCTCGGTGGTGTGCCGTCGTAATACTAGACCATCTAGTCTTTCACTCACTACATCCACTCCTGAACCGGCGAGCGTCATTCTCTCTGCTGTGTTCATGGTACTAGATTTCAGGGCGGCACACTGAACAATAAATATGCCAGGTGAGAAGATTAGCATGATCGTACCCAAGGTGGAGAAGCCTTTGGAGATTCCATGCGAATAACTGTTCGTAGCAAAGCAGCGAACAGAGGAAGAAACACGCACATTGCGAGCGTTAAGTGTGGTGGTACAGGAAGAGCGGCTTCCCGTTCCCCGTGGTGATGAACCGAAAACATATCAGCTTAAAGAGAGACCAAAATAATTGGGTGAAAGGATGTTAAAGTAGAAATGATTCACCCAAATTGTAGTCTCTCATAGACAGACGCTACAACAATATGGTGCTCCTACCTCGCATGTTGTACCCAAATTGCGCAATATATCAAGGAAACACCACCGAATGCCGAAGTGCCGCAGTGGAGAAGATGGTGAATCGATGGAACCACAAATAACCATGCGCCAAAATCGACACAGTTAACCACGATTTGACCACGATCATCAGAGACAATGCAAAGTTATTTGGGGACAGAAAGAGGAGAAGAGAGCGGATGGGTGGCAATGGGACAAAGAAACTATTTCCTTTCAGTAATTTCGATTGCTAAAACAAAAGCGATCGTATGGTCACATTGCCAAGCCACCGGAGTGTGCAACAGCGAAGGACGGAGCCGGGACCCATGGCAGGACCACGCGTTAAGACCACGACACTGCTTGTTGATGTGTGAAGAGATGCAACATGAATTTATTCAGGTGGGGTGAGTCGGGGCGCGAAGCAATTGCCTACGCGCCACAGAGATGTGTCTACAGGAACGAACCGCACGCGAAGCGACGAGGACACTTCGTCCTCTAGAATGTGGCGGGCCAGACATCCATGGCCAGACATAGCCATGATGCAGACTGAGGATAAGTCTCGTGTCAGTCATCGGACCGATCTCGGTCCTCCACAATGTGATGAAGAGACAGAAGGGCTCCCAGCGTCAAAAACAGAAGGAAGCTACTAGACTCCCAGCTCCACACAGAGATCAAGAAGAGTACGATGGCTTAAGAATCGTTGTTTTGATGGCCGAGGATAAGGAGCATTTAGAGTCGAATGAGAAGTTTAAGGAGAGAGTCTTGAATACGACGTTGAATATACTTAGCGCAAGGACGAAAGCATCACACAACCCACACTCCCATGCCCATAACCGCCGCAGCAACGACTAGACTCTGTATCGACACCGTACGAGACATTCCCTGCGCACCGCCCGCGGAGGGGCTGACGGATGGGGATGAATTGGAGCTGCTGGGGCCACTCGGGGGCGAAGTAGAGCTACTGAGAGGTGTGGTAGATGCCGGCGAGGCCGTGGTGCTAACACTTCCCGACGATGCTGGTGCACTGGACGAATGACTCGGGAGGTTGCTCGACCCGCTGACAGGGAGTGAAGCAGAGGCGCTCCCACTTTGGGACACTGCAACGGGGAGCAAATGTCAGGGCTCAGATAAGATACGTTACAATGACACACCGGTTGAAACTGGAACAAAAAGGAAAACACAGAAAGCCATACAATTAATTCCGCATTTTCGGACGACAGCGTCACTTACCCGCACCGCACATAGCAGCCAGAATCGCACTGACTTGTGCCTGTTCAGATTGGGAGCAGGATGTTGTGTGACTGCACTGTATAACGTTGGCAGAGAAGGAGGTTTGGCATAAGCAGGGCGTGTCCGATCTACGACAAGATCAGAGAGCGAAGTCGACAAGGGTTTAAGACCCACAGGTCACATCCCGCCTTTATCGCATCCGTCTTCGCGCACCCTAATGCACACTGCGGCAGCGTCGTAGCCTGAGCTGCGGCAGAAGACGCCAACGATAACGCGATCCACAGGACTTGAAACACCGAGAACATTTCTGGTCACTGAGAGCACAAGAAGCCGTGATTCACTTTAGAGCCACGGTGGAAGGGAGACAGGCTGCACGTAAGAACGAGGGCAGTGCAGGGTCCGTGCGCGATGGAAATCAACACACGTGATCTCCGCGACGCGGCGGAAGCTGCCAAACAAGCCTACACAAAAGGCGGACACGATAATATTCGAGCACTCAGTCCATTCTGACCTGAATCTGCAGTGTGTTACATCGATCACGCCTCAGCAGTCATTTGATACTCCGGCCCAACTTTTCCTTTCTCATAAAACTTCCTCTCTCCATTTGAACCACAATAATGATTCAGACTCGAAATCAGACAAAGAACGGTATTTTCCACTCTTTGAATTCTACGTGGCGCCGGGAAAGTGATGAACTCCGGCGGCAGGTTTCAAATTCATTCGGTACCGGTTAATTCAGTGCATATCGCACCACCAGTGCGCCGTTACACGATATATGTTGCCTTTGATTTATCCCAGGCCGCAGGAAATTGGGTGCCCTTCAAGAGTTCCACCGATCTAAGTATAAATGTCAGACTGTGGGCGTGGTGACTGTTCAGCGACGTTGCTCAGTGCATCGGCAAGGTCCTGGGAAGCAAATGTCACATCTAACTGAGCTCAGCGTGGCCGGAATTAAGCCCAAACTCAACGTGCCTTTCCCGATACTGCTCGCCGTGTGTACGCTGAGCGATTTGCGCTAGTCGAGGATCGAGAATATATCCAGTGAAATCGGTGTCGAGTTGGAGGTATGGAGCTGCATCGTCCCGTGGGAATTGTGAGGCACCACCCCCGCCATACTTGCCCGGCGCGATAACGTTTTGCGGATGTCGGTACTGAAGCCCTGCAAAGACTCACGGACGGGACTCGGCTGGAAATTCGAAGGGTATATTCGGGCTAAGGATTCATGAAATGCATCCGTTGGGGACGGCGTGCTGGCATTTATCTGTGGTAGAAAAGAACTGGAACTGGAGCCTTGGGGTTCTGGGTCGGGTGGCGAATCCTTGCTCGACATTTCTTTCCGGTTCGATATTGGGATGTACTCGCATTTCAGTCCTCTTTTTGCGCATCGGGCGCATGGATTCACAGGCGGATCCTCCGAGGTCAGGCACTAAATGCGCTAATGAGCAGCAATTCCGCATTCAAAGCCGAACCCCTACCCGAATTTTGCGCTTGCGACACCTTGTACACGCGATAATAACCCTCCGTCGCGGATTCAAGAATGCTGCAGATGAGATGGGAGATGGAGGCCCCGTGAGATCGGCCATGTACAGAGGCAAACGACTCCCGCCGTATTTATACCTGCAGTTACGCCCTACTGCTATACTCCAAATGGTGCGCTACTGACCGTGGCTGCCTAAACTACATTTGAAAATCTCACGCCCATTGGATGTGTATCTCGTCAATCCTGCGGCAGTAGATCAGTTAATTGAACGCCCCAAATACTGTCCACTCCGTAACCGCGGCTCCTACGATCACATGAATATAGCTGATGCATGGGGGGATTGTCTAGGCTACACTATGAATAGTGACACTAATCAAGTTCTTCTCACTCATCGTCTAGCATTCAAAGATTACTGACCGTGGAAGAAGAAATGACACGCGAGAGGGCGGCGAATATAAGCCGCGCAAATTGGGCTCTGCCTGAGTGCCCTATATGCAGTTGCACAGAGCCTATTGCCGATGGGGGAGCGAGGAACGAACAGAGATGAACAGCTGCATTGGGACCAAAAATAAGCAAAAGATTCCTGCCCAGTTCGACACAAGCGCGATGGAAGAGTTGAGGAAATGCTTTGGAAGATGCAATCTTTTTCTCTCCGATGATGTATCGATTGTTGCTAGATTTGAAGGCAGCGTCATTGTCGTCGCCCTGTCTAGGACGTTGCGAGTAGCGCGAGGGATAATAA